CTCCTCTTTGGGAAATTAGCAAGACTATAGTGATCTTTGGTTTTAAAAATATTTAATGATTTCCTAGAAGCATCCTCAAAGTCAATAGATGTAGGTTTAACAAGAATTTGTTTTCTAAAACTGAAAACTAAAAAGTGGAAAGTCAGTACCATGAGTGATGCAGAAAAATGGAGGCTGGATAACTAGTCTGTATAATCAATTACAGAAGGTAACACTGTTTTCATTATCAAGTCAACCTGGAGTCCCTTTAAACTAATGTACCAGTTACAAGCAGTCAGGGATGTAGTGAAGTGAGAGAGACCTGCCTGATCCATTGCCATCAACAGACCCTGTGTTAGAGCTCATTGTGTTTGTTTTCTTTTCTTTTATCCCTCTGAACAGAAATATTTAAATTGTAAGTGGGGATTTTTCACAGCACAAATCTTGCATCATATGTTTAAAAGCTGGGGCAAAATCATCTTTTGGCAGAAGTTGTGTAGCCTTAGACAAGCCATGCCTTGGTGTGTTTCCTTTAGGAGGGATAGTTTTCAGAGAGATTTCCCATATGGTGCATCCAATCAGTCCACTGACTCATTTTGGACTTGGCACTGGGATGTGAACCAGGGTTCAGAGGGTTACAGAGCATGCAAGTGGTCTTGTTGGTGGGAGCTCACTGCTCCCCATCGAGGTGGTGCCCCAACTGCCCCTACACTTGTCTTGACTGCTGTTTTCCAAACATAATTCTCCTACAATGTGGTCCCCTCTAAAACTTGTGCACACTCAGCAGTTCACCTCATGGTGAGCTGTCCAGAGCTTAATCTCCTTTCTCTTAAGGTATGCCACTGAACTTCACAATGGTCTCTTAATTTGTGATGATTTTCCCAAATGTGTTTGAGAGGAGATGAAAGGAATTTTAAATGAGGTGGATCTCACATGCAAACTGAATGGGCTTCATCTGTTTACTCACAATTCTTTGCACCAGAGGGTTGAAAGGACCCTAAAGGTCAACCAGTACAAAGCCCTGGTTGCAAACCATTGCAGATATGGAAACCCACATAGGCATGCAACCCATTCTTTTAAAAACTTTTTTTTTTCTTGGAACCCATTCTTGAACAAGATTAAAATTACCCAATTTTACTGAGGATTATTCAAAGCACTGTTGCAAATTGGGGGAGGGGGGCGGATATCTTGGTTAATTAGCAATACTAAAAAAAAGTGGAAATTCCCTTCAACAGAGAAAATAACATTCAGGTTCTTAGCAGAAATCTGCTTTTCTCTTTGTGAATAACATTTAGGCTTGAAGCCCATTTACTAAAGCCAGTGAGTGTGACATACAAGTCCTGGTTTACAAACACCTTGTTATATCTGAAATGCACACACATACAGAGAGGGAAAGAGAGAGACAGAGGCTGACAGAGAGACTTCCTTCCCATGAGTCCCACGGTGTTGCCCTTCAGGACCCTAGCTTCTAAGCTGTAGATCTATAAGTTGTATGGTTTAATTTCAAGAACTTACCAGGGTTGGGCTGGTGTGCAAGGTACATGTTTCCCTAATCCCATTTGTTTTTGCTAATATATATAATGATGTCCTTAGGGTCATGCCTTAGCTATGTCCACTGCCACGGTTCTGATGAACAGCTAGGGCAACCTAACCAAAGCCATATGCCCAAGGACTGTGGACCCTCCTGGGTGAATAAAGGGAAGAAGGATCAGGAGGAGCTTGCCTCAGTCAGAAAATCTTAGTTGTTGGAGGGGAGGGATTTGGGGCTACTTACATTTATTTCACGGCTTGCCCCCACCGGACTCGGGTCTCAGTTCTGGTGATATTAAACACTGAAAGAGATCTATGGGTGGGCACTGCTTGTCTTGTCTGCCTGGGACAGCACCCCCCCTCCTTTTAGTAGGATTCTGGTGGTGGTTGTCAATCACAGTGCCTCATCCTTGGTCCGTAGTGATGGGTCCAGTGATGGGCATATGCCCCAACCCACAGTCAAAAGGCTCTTTCCCGGGATTCCTAATGAGAGCTCTCTGAGTTCTGTGGTTGTGAAGCTTTGAGGACATAAGCCCAGAGCTCATGATAGTGTCCAAGTTTTCCCCACATGGGGACAAGTCTGAGGAATAAAGTTAATACACTAAAAGAAGCAGAGACAAAAAGCAGACAGCAAAGGAATGAGTTCCCTTGTGTTTGGAGTCCTGAATCTATTGACTGCTGAGGTAAACTCTACCCCCTGTCCTTTTCCTAGTTTGGTTATGACACTCAATAAACACCTCCCTCTTTGGTTAATGTAGGTCAAATGGGGTTTCTCTGCCACCCTATAAAATGCTGGGGGCACAAATTGCACTGCTTGGAAGCTTCTCTAACAGGATTCACGAAGGCCTCCTTGCCCTGGACCATTGTAAACCCTGTGCATTCGGGAGAGGTAGAACATATAATTTATTGTACAAACCAGGACACTTTTGAGAATAAAAGGCAGTGCTATTAACAATGATACCAGGACAACAGCCATGCACTAAAATTGAGGGGCACCCTAGTGAAGGATCTAGTCTGGTGCATGTGTTGTGGTCACGTGCCCAGCAGAACAGTGGCTGAGACCATAATGCCTGGTGGAAAGCCGGCATACCTGGGGAGCGAGGGGGTACCCAGCTGGAGTTGGTCTTTTATGAGCTCAGATAAACACTCAAGAAAACCCTTGGTGGCACTTGTGCAAGTTTGAAGTCCTATATTATTTTGGTGCTGTGACCAGGACTCCATTTGTGCCTATAGCTGATGGGACCTGGGGACATTCAGGTTACAAACAGGAAATACAGGAAACTCTGGATAGCTTTCTTCTGGAACAGGGACTGACTATTCCAGATGCATACAGTGCTCTGAGACCATATCCCCAATGTCCTAGGTGAGCCCCAGCAGCTGCATTCTTAGTGTGTGACCCTGTCCCTTTGCTAGTAATTCATTAGGCCACTGTAGAGGCTGATCCAAGTTGGACCAATCAGGTTCTCCCTCCCAAGAACCGGGGCTAATTATTAGCTAGTTACCCTTTATGTGATTGGTAACATGTCGATCCAGGAGACTTGGGGCAGCCATTTTGCAATGGGACCAGAGAACCAGAGAATGTTGGTCTGCAGCGAAAGAGAAAAGGAGAAGCAGATGTTCAGGGGGCAGCAGGAATGAGAGGCAGAGTTTGTTCCTGGGTTGCTGACAAGCTTCCCAGACCTTAGTTTCTCAGGGTGGGCTGCATTTCTACCCGTGGGCTCCAGAAGACACCCCTTATCCTCAGACCACCCCCCCATATCTTGCTTCAGCTAGCTTAAATTGATTTCTACTTCTTTTATCCCAAAGTGTCTTAACTAATACCAGGATATTTCTTTTTGATGATGTAAGAGCTCATATATTCCCTCGATAGTTTATGAGCCAAACAATTCCCTCTCTGTACCTTACCTCTCAATCCAAATGCTGATGTGTTCCTTCTCTAATTGAAGGCAGCACATTAAAGGAAAATACAAAACAAAACAACAAAAAAATGGAAACATGGTCCTCATACTCTGAAGTCACATGGGATCCACATGGACTTAATTAGGACGAGAGACAAACAGATAAACATTTGGGGATGCCTCCTTCCCATACAATATTTCATAACATGGGACCAGCGTGTAAAATTGAGATTTCAAAAATGATTTGGGTAACTTGTTCACTCAATTTTTCCTAAGTAGACAAGTGCTGAAACACAAAGATTCATGAAATTCTAGCTGAAATATACCCAAGCTGATCCTAGGAAAAATTGGGAAATAGACAAAATTTGTTAATGTTTCCCCAACTCTGCTTTCTGTGTTTCTCTCCCCTTCCTGCCTCCCCCACATCCCCCAGAGGAAAGCCATCTGACAAACTAAATTACAGTAGAGTGTTAGTTACTCCTATTAGGCATATTTGCATTTTTAAAAAAAGTCTAGAGAGGGTGATACAAAACCAAAGAAATGATTCTTTTGCTATTTTGGGGATTTCTAATTGTTGTGAAAACTTCTCTATGTACATATAAAGCCAGTAGTCACCTTGATAAAAAAGGTGAACACAAAAGACAGTGACAAAATTCAGAGCACTTTTTTAGTAGTCTTAAAACTTTTTACCTCTTACTTTCTTTTTTTTTTTAAAGATTTTATTTATTTATTTGAGAGAGAGAATGAGAGACAGAGAGCACGAGAGGGAAGAGGGTCAGAGGGGGAAGCAGACCCCCCGCCGAGCAGGGAGCCCGATGCGGGACTCGATCCCGGGACTCCAGGATCATGACCTGAGCCGAAGGCAGTCGCTTAACCAACTGAGCCACCCAGGCGCCCACCTCTTACTTTCTTATGGAGCCAAAAATTCCAAGTCGAAAGCTGGAAATGGAAAAAGAATGATTCGAAGGGAAGGCATAGGCTGGAGTAGGCAGGACCTCCATGCCTGTGTGTGTGCACGTGTGTGCGCGTGCACGTCTCTGTGTTAGGCTTGGCTAAAGAACCATTCCCACGATTTCCCTGCAGGTCTCATTCCCTCTTCTGCAGCATAAAGGAATGAGCTCCTCTCACAGAAAATCAAAGCTCTTCAGCCTGGGTGGGTGGCCAAACCACCGTCCCTCTTCCACTGCTGGGCTGTCTAGCAAAAGTGATGAAGCTACGTTCAACTAGCCATCACCCCCCTGGGGAAGAGAGCTGGAGCCAGGACTTCACAGAATAGGAGCCCATGATCAGCCCCAGGAGAATGCCCATAACTGTCTAGAGAGCAGTAGAACCTCACCCTGATGGCAGGACTTGCTGAAGATGCCAGAGAGGTCTGCTGGGGGATGGAGGGTGATTGAACTGAGTTCCTGCACTCATCTGTTGATGGCAAGTACCCAGCAGGGCACCAGAGATTGAAAATGAAAAGTCCACGTTGCACTTTGACTTAAGACTGGGGCAAAGGCCAGCCTGTCATCTGTTAGATGCTCCTGAGGGAATGATTTTGGAGGAAGGACACATTCTACAATCGATGGCTTTGGGTAGTTGATGCAGAAGGATGTAGGAATGTCAAACATGCATCCAAGGGCAGGAGCCTACGCCAGCAATACCACTTTTGGGTATTTATCCCCAAAAACTGAAAGCAGGATCTCAAAGAGATATTTGCACGCCCATATTCACTGCAGCATTATTCACAATAGCCAAAAGGTGGAAGCGACCCAGAAGTCCATTGAAGATGAATGCATAAACAAATGGAATACTATTCAGCCTTAAAAAAGAAAGAAATCCCGCCACATGCTACACCATGAATGAACCGTGAGGACGTGATAGTAAGTAAAATAAACCAGTGACTAAAAGACAGATACTGTGTATTTGCACTTCTATGAGGTATCTAAAGTAGTCAAACTCATAGAAATAGAAAGTCAAATGGTGGCTGCCAAAGCCAGGGGAAGGGAGAGTGGGGAGTTGTTCAGTGGGATGGGGTATAGAGGTTCAGTTTTGCAAGAGGAAAATGTCCTAGAGATCTGGCAGACAGCAATATGCATATGGCTGACACTGTTAAACTGTATGATTAGAAACGGTTAAGATAGTAAATGGTATGCTATGCGTTTTTTCTCTTTCTTTTTTTTTACTACAATTGAAAAAAAAAAAAAAGATTCGACAGGTGTCCATGCAGAGCAAGGGGTGTTTCCGTTGTCTGTGAGGATAGCTGGAGTGAGACCACCAGAAGTGGTTTTCCCCAGGGGTAGGGAGGGCAGAGGAAAGTGGTCGGCAGGTGTCCACCTGATGTGGGAACATTGATACATTTATAGCAAAACCAACGCTGACTCTGGAGCTATTTCTCTTTCAGGAGCAGCCCCAGAAGGCGCCCCATTCTTGGGCCTCCTCCTTCACTCACTGGGAAGTAAACAGAGATGGGAGGGTCCCTGTTCTGGGAAAAAGCTAATCAAATGATCCAACAGCTCCTCCTTTGCAACCCCGAGAGAGGTACCAGGAAATACAGTGTTGGCGGAGACCAGGAGGGCCATGAATAAGGGAGGCTGTCACGGAAAACTGCTCCCTTCCTCCCAGCTCCATCCAGACCTTTGCCTTCACACGCTAACCCCGGAGTAGGTATCAGCCAGGGGGCTGGAAAGAGACCCAGGCTCGGGGAGCACAGTCGCCCAGCCTTCTCCCTCTGCACTTTGGAAAAGAAACCGTCTTCTCTCCCTGTCCTGTTATTTAGTGTTTGGGAAAGGACCCAAAGTCAGCTAGGAGGCAGGGGACTGGGAACCACTGCGAAGGTAGGTTGTGGCATTCACAGAACAGTCGCGAAGCTTGTAAATCCAGACCCCCGCGAATAGTTTCCTGACGCATTCCCCAGTGACTCTCTTGGCCCAGAAGGGAGGGCGGGGTAGGGGCTGCAGAGAGAGACGCTTCTCCCTCACTGGGAAGCCGTGTTCCTGTGACCCGATTTCAATCTTTGGTAATGAACCATTTCAGAACAAATGAAGTCACTGGAGTCACTGATAATTACATAAATTTTCTTTTTTCACTTAAAACTCTTAAGTCTCCATCCACAAAGGCTCATTTTTAGTAACACATTGAATCCTGCCAACATCCTGGGGCTGATTTTGTCTTTACACTTCTAGGAATTTCCGAGGACGTGGGGGATCAGGCTGCCAGGACGGATGTGGATGTGTGTGACCAGCAAGGAGCTTCTGAGGTCTGAAGATTGGGAAGGTCAAGAGTCAATCCCCCCTAAGCCCCAAAGAGAGAGTCGTCTCCTCTCGGGGCCTTTCCCGTGAGTTCTCCTCCAACCTCTTGAAAACAAGGTCCCCATTTCACCTCAGCCGCAAGGTGATCAGGTGCCAGGAGTGTTTTAGCGACTCCAACCCATCCCCAGGGCCACATCAACGCAACGTCCAAAAAGGCAAGCATTTGGAACTCTGAAACCCCTGGAGACAAAAACAGGACTCTGTGATGATGTGGTTTATGGAGTCTCATTTTTAAAAATCGGACACACTTACCGCGAAAGATGCTGTGGAAAAATAATTGGATTTACCCCAACTCCTTGGCTATTTATTGCCTTGGATGGCACTAAGGTTATATCAGAACACAGTCATAAGGGGACAAGGCTTTGGAACAACTGAAACACGTCTTCCCCCAAAAGCAAATCTGTCGTTAACCCTTTGTACAGTGTAAGCCACGTGACTCTTGCACAGTGTTTGCAAAATACTGAGACAAGGTTAACAAACTTAGGGTATTTTATGCCCTGAATTGAGGCTATGGTCCTGTTGTGTAGACAACAGGGTCTCTAACAGCAGAGCCCTACCTTTTGGTGGACTTCAAGTCTTAAGACTCAGATCTTTCCCTCCAAGAGCTAAGGGCCCAGCATGCAGAGGGATGATGGATCGTCTTCCTTCTGTCCTCTGCTCTCGGCAAGAAGCCAGCCGTGAGGGGGTATGTTGCACAAGCCTTGTTTGACTGTGACCGACTTTACTGTGTTCTTGCATTTTGGGACCTCACTATTTGCAGCTTCTACCCTGTCATATCAAATCCATGACAGCTTGTGGGTGAAGCTAATAAAATGCCTCAAAAATCAAAACAGTTGATTGCAGCAGGACAAAATCTAGCGGCTATTTGACAGGCAAGATTTTGCGATTAGAACTTTTATTCCAGCTGACCACAGGTGGACTTGGCTGCCATCTTCCAAGGGGCTTCTGAGAAGTTTGTAGAGCTCCCATGACCAGTGGATCACGGCTCAGTCAATGATATCAGATAAAAAGTCGCTCTTCCTGCCATGAATCCATCTGTAGTTAAACAAGATAGGCTAGCTGTGCCAATAATTTGCTCGATTTTGCACAGCCATGTTTAAGGAGGCAACAAGAAATCTGCTTTCGGATCTCTGGGGAACTTTCAAATCAAAGACAGCAGAGATCAAAAGTCCTGCAAAAGCCACCTGGGAACTCTTGTGTGCTGACCAGTTTGCTCTTGAAGCTCAAACACCACACTTGCAAGATGACAGATACCACAGACTTCTGGGACAATTCTGCACCACACTATGCCCCGATGAAAAGCGACACGCTCTCTAAGGTCATATATCATCCACCGATGCAATACCTGCCCCAATCCTCCAACCACAAGGTCACTGGCTTTCCTGGGAAACAGAGCTGACACCTCTCTGATATCGGCCTAGTGATGTGCTGGTTAGCAGAGAAGTAAACGGCACAACAGTTGTAGAAATAGCCGCCATTTGTTAAGTAGCTTGCATGGATGATTTTGCTGAACTTTTAGCACACGCTATGCAATTGGTCATAATCATTCTATGAGGAAGGTGTTGGTTTCTCCACCTTATAGACAAGAAGTAACTTGTCCGGGGATATAGAGCTTTGAAGAAACATAGCCCAGGTTTGCAATCAGTAGGTTTGGCAGGTCCACAGTGCTGCCCTCACGAAAAATCTGATGATGCTAGAGCAATGTCATTTCTCATCTCTGAAAGCTAAATCTGTTGCATGGTTTAAATGTCCTTTTCAGCAGCAGTGGCAAACTTCTATTCCACCATTACATCCCAGTCAGAGCTCATGTTCTGTGTAAAGACATCTCCGCCTTTTCTAGGCTCGTGTACATGTCCCTTTTTCAACACCCTCAAGACATTTGATTCAGAACTTCAGGGCTGCAGTGACCTTATCTGAATTATAATTCTTTGTATATTTGTCTGCCTCCCGTTGAAAACCAAGAATTTCTTGGGGCAAGATCCATGTCTCCCTAGCTTTTGATCCTAGGACTGACATAGTGTTTGGCCCCATAACTACTGCTGATGGGTGGACCAAGGGGCCTTCCTTTGCTCAGATCCCAAAGAAGTATCATCTATTCAATAGTGCCAAAAGGATTAGATTGAACCATTTGAAACTTTTCAAAAAAAAGGTCAAAAAAGAGTCAACTGTGAGTACTTCTGTACATTTCAATCTAATAAATCATTTACAGTGGATGTGGCTATTCAGAAACATGGTTGGTTTTCAAATTTGATGTATTAATACTCACACGTCGAAGTGAATGCTTTGTAAACCTGCTGTCACACTTCATTGAGAATTTCCTTTATTTTTATAGTTCTGAAATATTCAGTCCTGCATTTTCACCCCAGATCAGCTGGTCCTTGGAAGTCCTTGCCTTACGCAAGGCGTTTGTCACAAGATATTTGGTATGCTTGGAAAGGCAGTGTCATATAATGGTTGAGAACAAATTTTTAGGTGTCATCTTCGGCAAGTGAACTTCTCTACTCCTTCCCCATCTGCAAGAACAGGATCACCATAGTGTTCCTCTCACAAAGTTGTTGTAGGAACTAAATGAGGTAATACATACTGCTTACAACAACGTTGGGGACATACTCAGAGCTCACTGAGTGCTTGCTATTACTATTATTACTATAGAATTTGGTCTGTGTGGAAGGTACACATGTTGGAATAGCAACAGAGTGCATGAGTAGCCAGGAAGAAAAAACTAAGTAAACAAGTAAAGTGATCACAAACAACACGGACTATATTTTTACCTAGATATTTCCCTGATGGAGTAGGTAAATCGGGAAATTTTAACTACAGAAACTGAGGTACCTGAAGCATGCATGATGTTGGCAGTCTTCTGGGTGCCTAAAGCCTTGTCATTTACTCCTCTGTGTGGTATCCCAGCACTCAGACTCCTTCTGGTGTCCTTTATAACACCATGACTCCTATTGTACAAATCCAAGGCCAGCTGTGGTATTTGAAAATAATCAAACTGGCGTCACCAATTCACTTCTTCCTTTCTTTTCCCTCAAAGTTTCTTTCTTTCAAATAGTTTTGAAATTCCATTACTAAATTTCCTCTTGCCTTTTAAATATATTACACATTGTGTTACGTATTTGTGGTTGAGATAATCACATGGTTCCATTTGTTATAAATTAAATCCGTTTAAGCTACAAAACTCTCCAAGTGTCCTGGTAAAGGCCTGCTCTGCATGCAATATGGGCAGAGCCCGCAGCCAAATAATTAGGAACTAATTTGTCAGAATCATAACCTGCTCGCAACTTTTGAACACTATCTGTCTAAATTCCTATACGGAGATAAAGCTCAGCTTTCTGGAAGTTCAACCCAACCCAGTAGCAAAGGGGATATTAAAGTGAATGGGTCCACTTCTAAATTATAACCAGATACAGGACCCTTTCTTTGTGTTCTGTGTTGAGTACTGTCCGACATTGTTCCTAAATCAACTGCATGTTTGGGGACAATTAGAGAAAGAAATTAGGTCCAATGTATCCTCTTTGCAAGTCATGAAATGAAGGACAAAGGATAAGTGCTGCAGATATAGGGGATAGGAACTAATTATCAGGAGCAAAGTAGCCACGACAGACTAAAGCAACCTTATTCAAACCTATGTGGGGAAAAAAAAGGTGTATAATTACACATATATGTGCCCAGTCACATTCTATATAAATTTACATAACTTTTTGTAATGCAGAGAGTTGTTTGAATCCAATATTCGAAGTTTCACTTTTAAAAAAATGCTTCGTGTAGGAACTCGGGCTAAAAGATGGATGTGGCATGTGGTGTAGGTGGTGACTGTTATGTTACTTTCTGGGTTTTAAACAAGTATGCTTTTTAGAATACTTCCTAATTTAAATTTTTAAAAATAGGGGCACCTGGGTGGCTCAGTCAGTTAAGTGCCTGCCTTCGGCTCAGGACATGATCCCAGGGTCCTGGGTTTGAGCCCCACGTTGGGCTCCTTGCTCAGCAGGGATCCTGCTTCTCTCTCTCCTCCCCACTTGTGCTCTCTGTCACTATCTCTCTCTCTCTCTCAAATAAATAAATAAAATCTTTAAAAAAAAATAAAATAAATTTTTAAAAATAAGCAAAAATAAACCTATTAACCCAAACACGTGAAATGAGTGCAGTCCCTTTGGCAAACAGAACTCACCTGCCAAGAAAAAGGCACATGAAGAGAAAGAAATGCAGACCATCGTGCTATTACTTTTATACAATGAGTAGTTAGCACGCCCGCTCTCTTGAAGTCTGTAAACATAAAAGAAATGGGGCATTATCCACAAAACTGTGAAAGTCTCTCCCAGACACTTTCAAGATCTGAATGTTTGTTTTATTCTGCAAAAGGAGTCCTGATGAAAGCCACAATTAGTTTCTAAGAAGAGGAACAGGAATTTAAGAAAACATCGCTCTATTCTCGTGGCAATGGCTTTAGAGGGAAGCACATTTGTCGGCCACATTTCGCACCATTTGGGGCCCTTCAGCTTTATCCAAAGCTTTCGCTCGCAGGATCCTCCTCCCTGCACTCATCCCCACATTATCACTTTCATCCGCCCAAGTTAGCAAAAGCTCTGTGAGGAAAACAGATTCTAAGTTTGGGGAAGGAGTGTTACTCGGAAACCTCCGGTTTATCTGGTAATAATTGCATTAATAATGGTAAGGCAGATTGGTGGACGTCAGGGCTCCAAGGGGAATCATTAGGGTTGAGGTCTCTGGGCATTCAGCCAGTGATTTCCTTGGACTTGGACTGCTCAAATCCGGGTTCTTTCTTTCTAAATTATTCCTGTGACTGTGCTGGGTTCAGAAATGAAACCTAGAGGATCGATTATAAAAATGAAAAATGCAAACTTTGCATTTGAAAATACCATAAGCATAGTAAAAAGACAAATGTTAAGCTGGGAAAAAATGTTTGCCATTTAAACTGTAGACAGAGATTTTTCGATATTCTTCATGTCTAGAAGCTTCTGAAAACAGAAGAAAAAGTTCA